TCATATCTTACGTGATATCTTTCATCCTTCCCCTCGACTATGTCTGGGAACATTTTTAGAAGTGAGAAACATTGAATTCTTATCAGAGCAACGTTTGACCCATCCTTTGTTAATCTGGGTACCTTGTGAACAACTGGTTTTGTGTTCTTCACTCCCACAGGCATCTTTCACAGGCAGATTAGAAGTCAAGGGCCAATGAGTACCTTGCTTTTCTCTCAGTACAGTCCTGCATAACATGATCTTGGTCTTGACAGCCGTTATTAAGCACTATAAAGCATTGCTACTACTATTAACATAGAATATACTGAAGGGAACAATAAGGATGAATGAATGAATTGCATTATGACGGTTACACGTCTGATAGTTCTGGATAGAGATATTGAAAAAACTCTGTTCCACGTTAAATCAAGTAATAGATTTTAAGCAGAAAATAGTCTAGTCTAACACACTGCGTGTTATAGGCCACAGAACCACACTCAATAACTCAGGCATCACATGCAAGGATATCAGAATAAGAAAAGGATGGGTAGTCTCATCTCTTCAATTATGTCAAGATTGCAGAAAGTTTTAAATTCTGGTCTTGGTTCCACCGACTTCAGAAAGTAGTACAACCAGTTTGCCTGAGCGTCACTATTTAAAAAGTCACAGTACTTGCTTATCCCACCAGGACACTGTCAGGTTTAATTAATTACATCTGTAAAATCCTTTCTAAATGAAAAGTGGCAAGCGTGATTTATTAATTAAGTCTAAAAAGCCACTGCAGAATCAGAGACTGATCATTGTTTTATCAAGAGAATAACATTTCTAATAAAATACATTTCAAATGGGAAATTATAGTAACAGCCTTTTTCACTTATTTAGAATTTTTTTGTGAGGAGCAAAGCAATAGACTTTTGATGAGTTCTAGGAATAGAAGTGTAATCAAGAACAAAAGATACAGGAACACTTGCCCACTGACATTAATGAGGACCCATCTGAACGGCATTGCATAAATCACGAGAATGGGGACTGTATACCTAGCACTGCTGTAGGACCAAGCTGCAAGAAAACTGCTCCTCTGCCTAAAAATGCAACACTTGCTTGCAGCCGGACTACGTGCAAGGATCTGTGCAAGTCACCTAGACATATCCAACCAGAACCAGAGAGTATGGCAGTAACAGCCCAAAACTACCTGTAATGTGGCAATGTATGATCAACATAGGGCCTGGTTTATGTCAGTATGACTCCACTGCTGTCAGCTCTCATGCTTACAGGTGTATCACAGCTCCAGCACGTATCTGCGGGCAGAATCCAGGTGTCAGAGTTATGAATGACAGCAGTCATTGATGCACACCTCCTCTTGGGGTACAGTGGGCCCTCTTTTTCCGTTCTTTTTGCCCTACAATAGCAGCTGTGTTAGCTAAGGTACTCCTCACTGGGAAATTATAATTCAGTCAGTGCTCACTAGGGCCAGGAATCCATCAGCACAGATGCAAGAGTAGTTCGAAACGTTCAGAAAGGATGCGGATCAAGCAACATGTGAATTACACTGATTCAGCACATGCACTGGACAGTCCTGTGGCCCAACTCCTTCCTGGACAACTCCGCCTATTCTTTGGCCTGTACTGGCAAGCTCCACACCCTCAGCACCAGTAGCCGGAGTTTCAGAGGAGGAAATGAATCATGCCTTCAGAATGCAACTGAAATCCCACAGATCTAAGAAAATAGTTGTTCATCTGCATATGTATATGTGCATACCTTGTATATTGCCAATTACATTTCAATCCGATACCTTATATGAATAAAAATATCCCAAATCTAATGGGATTTAACATTAGGTGGCATTCCAAAGATACGGCCGGTGATTATAACTGAAACAAGCAGTACCACATGACTTCAAATAGAAAGTCGACTGAACTTGGGCCCGATCCAGCACAAAATAACCACAGCTTTTCCAGGCTACACAGACATCAGGTTTGAATGGTTGCACTGCAGCAACATAGCACTTACTTCGGAAATATTAACTTGTTATAGAAAGGCAGTCAGGGATTATCTAGACTGGGGAAAAAAACTTTGCAAAAATATTTTTGCTAAAATTAATACAGCGTAAGAAAGAACAGGCGAAATCTGATTTGTGAGTTGGCCAGGACAAGCCCATAGGAAGACCGCCTTAATTCAATTACTACTAATGTGTTTACATTTGTGTGGGAAGTCCCAGATTCTGGGTCATGACACCTCTCTGCCTCTTTGTTTCCCAGCTTCCTCCTTTTTTACCACACCGTCTTAAGGCGGCCAGGCATGGGAGCTACCGATCCATGTTCACACAGGCCCGACCAAGCAGCACGGCTCTTCCGCAAGCAAAAAGGGTGGGACAGCCACAGCACCAAATCTTCTGGAACAGCCAAGCAGCTCAGACACAACCCCCATCTTTTTAAAGCAGCGTTGATGCTTAAGACCTGAATTCAGCCACAGGCTCTGACACAGGCACCAATCTCACTTGCTGACAGGGGATTTTCAGGGTGCCAGGTGCCCCTCTGGCAGAGGAGCTCCCCTTGGGCGGGGGCAGAGCTGAAGTGGGCAGATTACACCGTGAGCAACAGCCCTTGCCCACGCAGTTACTAAACAAAACAGCACTGCAGGTAACGTCGTTATTTGGAAACAGGGTGACAGGTGCGTTGTGCTGCAGATCTGGGGGCAGCCCAAGCATGTTTGCAACAGTTCTCACCAGAGACAGCTGGCAGCGACCTGCCTTCACAACTCCTGTAGCTGGATGGTTATGTTGAAGATATGGAGAAGATTTGAAGCCACCAGAGAATGCAATAGTTATACCGGCTGGATCACCTTCATACCTTGGTATGCGTCCTTTCCTGGAGAGGTAGAGGCACGCCATTTTCTTCTAACCACTCCTTCAGTCTCCTGCTTACGGGTAGCTACCACATGTCATGAAGCGCTGAGTGTGGCCTCCTGCTCCAGCTCAACTTTCACCTTGATTTGAAAACATTTGATCTGACTATGTAACCAAATCTGCCTCAAATGTCAGAGTTGGGGGCCTCTCCCCATCCACACGCTAAAATGAGGAGTAAGCAGGACAAAGACGCCATAGGCATAGAGTCCATCGTTCTGCAAGTCCTTACATGAAATTTGCACCATATTTGATTGGACATTTAACGGCTGCACATTTCCATTACATCCCTTACACCTGCAGTGCTTTGCAATGGCAGCACTGCCCCTTCCCAGCTGCCTGAGGCGGTACGAGCATTTCCATTCTCACGCTGCTGCAGCCACCGCTACTAAAACAGCGGAGCAGACGAGCACGTTGGGAGCCACAGTCCATTCTGCCTGCTGTTACATCCTCACAGAGTCGATGTGACAGGTCATAAAAAGCCTTTACAACCTGGTAGCCTGCACACAGCGCTCTGAATTAGAATGGTAGAGCTCTCTTGCGTAGAAAAAAGAGCAGAAACTGCTTCCCAGGATGGCTTCTGATAGCACTTACACCAGTTATGGGGACGTTTCTTTGAGTAGGAGGCTCCAGACGAACAGCGCTCAGGGCCATTTCCTAGAAATAAGGGTATCAGGACAGCGCACATAAGACCCAGTGTGGTATGATGGGATCTGTTCCCTGCTAGGCAAGTGTGCCACATTCAAGTGTCTTCATTCCCAAAGACTCACCGCTAAAAATACCTGGGATTCTCATTTAACCTCGAGTGTCCCTGCCCGTGGCAGGCGGGTGGGAACGAGATGACCTTTTCAGGTCCCTTCCAACCCAAACCTTTCCATGGTTCTACACCTAAAAATAATAAACTGGCTCCCTGAAAGGACTGAAACATCAGATCGACCCCCGAAATATCAAAAAATACAGCTCGCCTTAAGCCCAGTTGGAGCCTCCGGCACCTGAAAAACACAACAAAACAAAAAAAAAACAAGAAATGCGGCAACTAGGAAGTCTTTTTTAACTTCAATTAAGGGAAAACCAGTTAACAGCAATTAGCAGCCCGGTCAAAACACCTGAGGAGAGGGGTAGAGACTTCGCACGCCATCGCTAAGCCTGAGGGAACCCCGTCGGGCCGGCAGCGGGGCTGAGGGGGGAGGGGCCGCTCCCTCAGCGGCCCCTCCCCC